GTTCCAACACACGAAAAAACTTCTTTACGGTTAGGGTGACAGAGCAGTGGCACAGGCTGCCCAGGGAGGGTGTGGAGTCCCCTTCTCTGGAGATTTTCAAAACCCACCTGGATGCAGTCCTGAGTAATGTGCTCTAGGCAATCCTGCTCTAGCAGGGGAGTGGGACTGGACGATCTCTAGAGGTCCCTTCCAACTCTGAAAATTCTGTGATTCTGTGATCTGTGATTCTGTGACACTGGTTTTTGAACACTATTGTTTGTCTAAGAGTCTGTGGCAAGTAGTTGTTGAATATCATGAAGAAATGTGGTGTTTAAAAACAAATACTTGCCAATGTGGTGTTTAAAAACAAATACTTGCCAATATGGTGTTTAAAACCAAATACTTTCCAAGTAATTTGGATGAGCAAGATAGGCCCAAATTTCTCAAGAGGCTGCATATAAATGATTGAGTATTTTTTACCTTAAGATTTAAAAGTACGGACTTTACATGTATATTATCTCAATTTCTTATATTGTAAATCTCAGATTCTGGATGAAATAGAAGAGCATGGCATCAAGATTTATCACCTGCCTGATGCTGAATCAGATGAGGATGAAGATTTTAAAGAGCAGACCAGACTCCTTAAGGTAAGACTGGCTTCACAGGTTACATATACGAATAATATACTGTATGTTTTGGGACTGCTCAGATGGCTTTAGAACAAGGTATGTACTGTGACCTGCGATGAGACCTTAAGTGAATCATTGTGTCTCTGTGGCCAGGCTTCCCTATCTGGAAGATGGTGGTAATAATTACTATTTTTTTTGCACCTTCAAATTAAAAGCATTACAAACCTATTACCATAATACACAGTTCTGAGCAGAATGAGAGTTCTTGTAGTTGTTTGTTCTGGTTCATTCTTAATCATTTTTGTATTTTTGGCTTTCAGGCCAGCATTCCATTTTGTGTAGTGGGATCCAATCAACTCATTGAAGCCAAAGGTAAAAAAGTTAGAGGTCGACTCTACCCATGGGGTGTAGTTGAAGTGGAGAATCCAGAACATAATGACTTCCTGAAGCTGAGGACGATGTTAATGTAAGTTAGAAAATTCCAATCAAATGGTATTTTTAAAAAAAAATCACCAGGAGTATGCTCAAACATTGTATTGGGGGAGGGACTGTACCACACAGGCTCCATAGGTTCTTTCCAATCTGAATTACTTAGTGATTCTGTGAAGATAATCTTTTGTCTAATTCTTTGGTCGAACACAGTGTTGTATTGCTATTCAGATCCCCAGGAACATAAACCAGGTTGCTTCACACCTTCTGCTTTTTTAAATATATCTATATGTGGATATATATCTGCAAAGGAGTAGACTTCAAAAGTCCACTGGTTGATTTTTTTCAGGCTTTGCTGCTCTGCTGGCTTTGCTGCTCTGCTTGCCCTGCCCAGCACTGCTTCATCAAACACCTCACCCAAGAGGACAGCTTATGTCAGGGCTGCCTCGGGGTCCGAGGTGGTCTCTCTGTGTCCTTTATTGGACCAATTTGATTTAAATTGGCTTTTAAATCAGCATGTTAAATGGCTGTTCAAGCTGAACACATTGACCCAATACAGTGCTGAATGTGAGAGTTGGTTAAGCAAACTGATGTGACATGGTTATGTTTGAATTATTTTTCTTCCTCCAGCACCCATATGCAAGATCTTCAGGAGGTGACCCAGGATCTTCACTATGAGAACTTCCGCTCTGAGAGGCTCAAACGAGGCGGCAGGTTGTTATCTTATGGTTACATGCTGTTTCTTCCTCTTCTGAATTTATTTTTTGGTCTCTCTCTCTCTGTCTCTCCTACTGGGAGATTTGGTGGGATTGGTGGGATTTGGTGGATCACAGACAGCTCTGTAGCTCCAGTCAACACCAAGTTCAGTCAAATAGCTTACACTGCATGGAAGAAAAAGTATTACATAAATCTGAAGAGATAGTTGTGGCATTAAAAGGGTATCGTTAGATCTCTGCTTTGTTTTAAAGCTTGAACACAGTTGGATTAGAATGTTTGAGGTAAATAAGTAGGGCAGATGTAGTTAATTGTGGAAAAAAAAAAACCCAAAACCCCCAAATCCCTTTAACATATCACCACTGACCTAAGTTGCAGATTTTTGAAGACAACACTTACCATGGATATCTGCCCTGCTTCTCTTATGTCTGCCACTAGAGGGTTTCATAATCGCTCGTTTTAGTGGGTTTGATATATTTTCCAAAGCTTTTTCCATCATGCTGTTGACATAGGTTTTGTCACATAACTAGTTGGTTTTCAGGAAAAGGAGTTTGTCTCGGTCTGTTGTGTTGGCCTACAAGTCCAGTTTTCCCTTCAGGCAAGATGACATGCTCTTCTCCCCTGAGTTTTAAATCCTGTCTTCTGTAGTTCAAGCTAGAAAAAAAATCTTTGCCAAGTTCTGGTGCCTGTTATCCAACAGGTATGTACAAAGGTCTTAAAAGAAACGTAATCTAAGGTCATCCAAAGTTAAAATAACGTTACCAATTTTTAGAGGATTTAAGGTTGTCTGTGCCAGGGACCTGTGACAGTAAGTTGCTGTTAAGTTGGGGTATCTTTCTTTGTGAAACCAAAACATAATTTTGCATCTTGTCTAGTTAAGTAGCCTGTGTATCTTTGTTTTCATATTTCTGAAGTGCTGTGAGGATGTAGTTAAGTTTACTGTAAGTGAGGGTAGTTTGCGTGTGAATTTATTTCAAACTTGCACCTACGCCACCGTCAGTGCTTGGCAATTAGTGCTTGTTGGCTGCATTCACTAATGTTCTTAGAGGCTTTTGGGCACAGAGGATTTTTTTGACAATATCTTACTGTTAACCTTTTAAAAGCATCGTTTTTTTTGCTTTGCACTTTTGACGGCATTTGTGTGATTAGATCTGTTAGCAGATCTTCCTTGTTGCAACATGGGATAGGAGAAATCTATTAGCAAAGTGGTAGTTAATCTTGAAAGTATAGTACCTAAAAATATTCTTATGTTTGTCTTCTCAAAGTAAAACTGGAAGGTCCCAATTAAGCAAGAGTTTTCTGAGATACTGATTGAAAGCATTTGCTTGATTTTGACAGGAGTAATCAATGTTTATACTATACTTTAACATGTTATACAAAAGAAATCCTTTGGACTTAAAAAAAAAAAAAGGTGACTATACTAGAAAAATAATCAAACTTCAAAATCTTAAGTGGAGCAGAGGAAAAAAGGTTCCTCCAATTGGAAGGATTCCAGATACGTACAGTGGTTGTGTTACTTCTGTGGTTTCGGTTATAAGCCTTTTAGATGTGTGGTAGCAAACATGGTTCGGGAAGTTAGAGATGGGCTAGAACTGCATCAAAGGAAGGTTCTGCCTGGAGGTAGCCAGGCTTCCAGATACAGTATTTCTTAGAGCACTGGTTATTTTACATGTTGGTTCTATATTTTTGTTAACATCTTGTCCAGCATTACCTTGAACTTATATTTAGATTTAGTTGTATTGAATTATTGCACCAATGAAAGAGAAGAATTGAGTATGTGCTTGCAGTATTTCTGAATTTGCTATATCTGTGGGGTACTCAAATTGCAATCAGTTAAGATAATGTTATGCTCAGATAAATTGCTATACTTGAATACTGTTCAGAAATAGTTTTTATTGATACCTACATGCGAAGATCGGTCGTATTATAAAGTCATAGCTAGCACGGTTTATACTTGTTCTGGGCATAACTTTATGAAGGACTAAGGGATAAATTGATGTCTTAAAAATAATTTAAAAATACAAACATGAATTGCAGCTATGTGGAGAATTATGTTTCAATGAAATTTGTTTGTATTATGAAACTGACATATAAGATGTGTTCTAAGAGCCTTGATTTTTGTCAACAAAGCATTCTCTGGAAGTTCAAAATCTGGAATGTATGCACATTATTGAACAATATTCATCTTATTTTAGGAAAATAGAAGACGAAGAAGTAAATAAAGACCAGATTCTGCTTGAAAAAGAAGCTGAAGTAAGATGGTAGAACTCTCTACTCTTGTGATGGGGGAATTTTTATTCTTGTATCTCTACTTTAGGTCAAATGATTTATATGATCATGGTAATCTGTAAACGAAAAGACTATATTTGCTAATATAAATTTATTCAAGGTGCAGTAACAAAACAGAATGCAAACAGGTGTAGAGGAGTCTCAGGATACTGATACAGGTGGAAACTGGTAAAACACCTGACTCCGTTGTACTGATCAGCGGTGGATGTGATGCCTGTTGTGTGGGAAGGGAGCGCCATCCTCACATGAGTAACAGTTCGAAAGTTAGCAATTGCAGACTGGGAAAAAAGTCAGTTCAGCTCTGCAGCAAAGCAGGGAACAATGATAGGAATTGTCAGAAATGAAGAATGAAACAGAAATTCTCCTTCTGCCGCTGTGATAAATCTATAATGCATAGCTCTAACACTGTTTTCATTGTCCCCATAACCCAAAAAGGCAATAGCCAAGACTAGAAAAAGTACAGTGAATGGCAAAAAGTGGGCAGAAAGGCTGAAGTGGAGATCTGAAGCAGGTGCTCTATGAGGGGAGATTAGGTTACTGCTCTTGTTAGGAAGTAGATGACAGAGGGGAAGGGTATAGTAAGGGGTTTACATAATCACAGATGGCAGGATGAATGGGAATCTACTACACAAGCAATGGGTCACATTTAATGAGGTTATAGGTGGCTGATTTCAAATAAAAAAGATACTTTTAAGACAGTCTGTAAATTCTGGAACTCTAGCATGGAATTTTGCGCATAGCAAGAATGCAGATGAGCTCAAAAATGCTGTGAGACTGGAGAGTTTTACTTTCTCCATGAATGTGTTCTCTAAACACAAAGGTAGAATTTTATATTATTTTAGTTTGTTTAGCAAGGTCAGAATTGCCAGATTTCTAGAGTTTGAGAGCGTATGTCAGTAAATACTGGGTGTGTGCACCTGGCTGTTAGGCTCTTCCATGCGTTTACTAATAGCCAGCATTGGAGAGAAGGCCGAGTTAGACGGACTTTTTGGTCTGCCCTAGCACAAGCAGACACTCAGTCTTCTACTATTGGCTGTGTGGCTACCCAAGTCCCAAAGGAATAAAAATGAAAATGAAAAGGGTCGTTTTTTCAAGGATTTTGAAAAAAGAATAGTGTAAACATTTCACAGGTTTAACTTTCCTTTTTTAAGCTTAACAGTTTAGTTTGAGTTTAAAGTGCAGGAGCACAAAGGCAAAGACACCCAAATGTATTTCAGTGGTGAGGTTGACTTCTCACCTGTCAGAGTCGGGTGCAATAAAAGAACTTAACTATTGTATATGCAACATGGCTGAATTAATCTAAGTTACATGATTACCCTGTGTTTGAATGTTGCAGTGCTCTGCGATTGAGTTTCAACCATTTTTAATAATGCTTGTGTCTCTTTGGATGGTTTGTAATGCTGGCAAATTTTTAGTGACAGATGCAGGTGTAGTTTGGAGGGACATAAACAAGCTGTTTCTCTTCTGGCAATAAGCTTTAGTAGCTGTAAGTGTTTGTTCAGCACTTCAGCACCATCATTTTTATGCATTTAACTTCAGAGGAAGCAGAGACTTCCATTTAGGGATGCTTAAAAATTTCATCCCAAATTACAGTAATAAAGCCTGCTTATTTCAGTCAGTAGATTTCCAGCCTCTTAAAGGATGAAGAAGAGCAGTAGAAGAAGATACCTTAACCTGAGATTGTTACCTATCAGATAAAGATAATGCAGATATGTGTTCCTTCTTTAATATAAATAATTAACAGTGTGGTGGCAGCAGAGAGTCATATTCTGAGGTGCGATTAGGCTAAAGGATTCTTCTGTGCTACTTTTCCAGCTACGCCGCATGCAGGAGATGATTGCGAGAATGCAGGCGCAGATGCAGATGCAGATGCAAAGTGGAGAAGGAGATAGCAGTACAGTTCATGGACACCATGTATAAAGTCTTTGGTAAGATGCTCAAATAGCCACTTAAAGGGTTTTTCTTTTAACGACTCACTATTGTGGTCAGTAATAAGAAGTTTTGGAAAAATGTTTACAAGATGGGTTTGCATAGGTTTCAATCTCGATTTTAATTTTTAAGGTTTAACTGCTGGGTTTGAAGTGAAATGGCTTGGAGCCAAACAAAATATTAGTGGGGTGGGGATGTATATATTCAAATTTTCCAGAAAGTCAATCCAATATATGCCGGCAGGAATCGTGGAAGAAGTCTTTGAAATTGTGTAAACAGGTGATTGTCAAACTCACGATGAAGTCATTGTTTCATTATGACTTAAAATGTCTGCGGTTTTTTTGGGTTTCCAACTGTAAGAAGATAGCTGATCTTAAATTGTATTTTTGTCTTGTTTTTAGATTACTTTATACCCTGACTTAAAGGAGACCTTCTGGAGTTGAATTACAGTGGTGTTACACCAGAAAGGATGTGTTTTGCTCAATGTGTGACTTGGAGTTTGCTTTAGAGTTTAACGTGGAAATGCATTGTGGTAACTCTTGTGATATGTATTTCATAACATGTAGTCAGTCGGTATTTTATATATTAAACACATTTGACTTTGTTTTTGTTTAGTAATTCTTATATTGAGCTTATTTTCAATTTCCCATTGTATTAGGGATACAAAATAGACATTGAAACTTTTCTAGCCTGATATGGCATTAGATATTTTTTTTTAATATGGTTTATTAGCTCCCTGCTTTTAACTTCATATTACATTTAGAAATAAACAGCTGTCAGTCATGTCTTGTTCAGTGGCATGTAATAGTCACCTCACTAGGGTTCCCTGCAAGGTTAATTTTATTTTTTTTTGCGGTGTTTACAGGTGTGTTTCTGTGAGACCATCAGCCCTTTTTCTTCTGTCTCTGCTCAGTGCAGATAACTTTCTTGGCCTCTGCAAGGGTCAGATTAAAATTCAAGCATGCCTTCTGTCTTAACAAAAGAAATCGGAGGAAATGCCTTGTTAAGAGGCACACTGTATTTTATATGACAGGCATTATTTCCTTCAGATTTAACCTTGAGGGACATATATTCTTTATTGTTTGCCTAAAATCTCTTACTCTATTGCAGATAATTTTTAAGAGTTTCCTGTAGGTCAGCACAAATCAGCCTTGCTGTTTGCTGGCATTACTGTAGCCAAATAAACTTGATAAATGGTGATATTGTTACATGAGGTAAACCCCAAAGAGTAGTTTTCTATGCATGGATGTTTCCTATATCCAAATGTGTAAGAAATTCTATAATTCCTAATGAGTATTTTCATAGTATTTTTAGGGCATTGCAAACTGTTAATTGCATAAAATATATATTAGCGCACTTCTCTTTTTTTTCTCTCTTTTTTTTTTTTTTTTAAAGTGATCTGTGCCTGACAGGTTCAATGCAAACTGTATTTTAAGGTCTTGCTCCAAGATGGAGTTAGCAGTATTACTTCCAAAGTTATACTTTTTTTTTTTTTTTTCTTGTTGAGGCCAAGGTCACTTTCCTTAACACTGATAGTAAAGGAGACTGGTTTTTAGCTTGGCTGGACTTCTACTATGTATCATATCGTGTATTGTGTTTCCAGTACAAAATAACAGCTGTAGGACACAGCTACACAGGTGGTAGCTGGTAGGGTTAGCAGTAATACACCACGGTTGGTGTTTCTACAACTTGTGATAAAACCAGCAACCAGATTTCCTAATCCGATCTGTTACAAAACAGCTAATAAATAGATAAAATTGCAACTTTTTTCTCTTTTTTGAGCTCAGGTGCAGCTGTGAGTTTTATATTTTTTGTTAATGTTTCTTTGAAAAGATTAATAGGATTTCTACAGATAATGTATAATTCCAGTGGTACTTAAGTGGCTAGATTAAATATAAACCTGCTAAGCAACTGAAATTTTTACCTGCCTGAAACTACTGTTTATGAATTGTTTTATATTTCAAAATTTCTAAAAATGTAAAGTAAAATTCTGCGTCATAGGCTTTGCTAGGGAGCTCCAGTTTTCTTCTCAAAAGCTATTACTGTTGAGTTTTGCACAACTCATTTGACCTTCCCTAACCTTGACAAAAGTAAAATGAGAACCTTTTTGTATGTTGAGATGCACAGGAGTTTTAAGTCCCATTTTGTCAAATATTTACGTATAAAACTTAGATGGAAAAACATGCACTTCTAAGTTCTTGTCTTGCTTTTTGGAAATGAACGTGTAGAAAGTAAGTAATGTGGCAGTATTATCAGAAAACACTCCATAACACCTTATTTATTTCTAAAGCTTGTGATACATTATTGTGAATCAGTTGTCACAAATTTACCAAAAGAACTTACTATAAACTTAAGTCATTGAATACTTTGTGAAGTCCCATGCTGTTCTTCAATTGACACAAATCTGTTTGGGCTTTTTTCTGATAATGCAGCATTTGTCCACTGTTCAGCTATTTGTCTGGTATTTCTCTGTTAAGTGTTTTGAACACAGCATGCTTCGGACATGGGCTGCTTTTCCAAGGAGAGCCGCTCTGGGACGTTCGCATTTTCACCTCTAAGCTTGGTAGGGTATGGTAAGCTGCAATAGTACTCTGAACCCATACTTGAAGAAAAACTGTGAAATCTAACCTGTATGCAGATGGGGACTGGTTGTACATGTAACTCTCTCTGTGTACGTTGGTTTGATAGTTTTTTCCTGTATTTTCTAACATGGGAACAAAAGCAGATTGTCCGTGCATTTAGTGCTGTTTGGTCACTACCTGTGGAATTATTTTAAGCAATGTCTTACTCTTTGAAATATCATGTATCTATTAAAATATTTGATCAGGATAAAATACTCTGTTTGATTCTTAGGCAAATAATTTTTAATCTACAAATTCTCGCAGGAGAAACATTTTCATATTTGTTTTGTTTTGGTTTATTTTTTAATAGGAAAAAGCAAGTTGATGGCACTTGCCATTTTAACTGAAATACTTAAGACAGCTAACTGCTGCTTCTTCCCAAGTCTTAGGGGCAATTGTTCATAGTGTGCCTGATGTCTCTGAAGGTCTATTTCCCCTTCACTTTTCTTGTGATGGTTTCATGGTAAGACCTGAAAAGTGAGACTACCTTGCTGAGATTCTGTTTTGGACAAACTTAACTACCGGTAGAAGAAAGACTCAGAGATGAAAGGTAGATATTGTTTGGTGGCTTGCTGAACTGGCCACAATTCTTTTTTCTGTTGCGGCATTGTAACAGTTTTTATTTTAGGAGTCAAAATGCTTTTGAATTTGCAGAGCTTTATAGTTGGTAGCAACATTACTTGTTCTTGGTACAAAAATCTGTTATATTCTGTTTTATGTACTGCCATTAGCCAAAACTATAATAAAAAATGCTAAAATACACTTCTTTTTTGTTGTTGTTATGATTCTTTATTATGATCAACCCTAGCAATATTAATTTGTTTATGGTGATATGTTTTAAATATAAAGGAGAAATGCAGATGTGGTTGAAAGAGCACATTGATGAACCTGCATTAAATGTAGTCATTAAGGATTGTACGCTCCTGGTGTACTGGTCCAGTGCATTTCCCACTGGGTGTTACAGAGCTGCCAAAGTCCTACCTATGGGGTCTTGCTTTTTCAACAGCTCTCACCGAACATGCATGTCCCTGCATTATTATGCCAGCATAGAGTGAAGATACTTGTTGGTCGGTGGTGCTTTAAGTGTTAAGGGTCATCGTTGTCTCCAGTGAATCGTGCTTCACCTCTGGAAAGAG